CAACTGCTACATCATCTTCGGCAGCGTTGTCAATCTGAGGGGGGCCAGATCGGCCCGTCTGCTCGTCGGCATTATTATTTGTAAAAGTCACAAGAATAAAGTCCAACAAGGTGAGGAGCGTCTTCCGAGTGACAACCAGGTTGATGGTAGATATAGTGGTGGTAATGTTGGTTTCAACACCTTCGTACACGGGCATGAACTCGGGTGACTGGCGATTGACCCTGACAAATTTGACGTGAACAAGGCTTCGTCCAGCTTGGAGGTCCTCTCGGTCTCCAGTAGACACAATCGACTTGAATTCGGCAGGCGGATTGTCCACAAAGTCGTCCATAGTTACTGACCCAAGGGAAACTTCGGCCGCCATGTCGTAGGGTCGAGTATAGAAGGACAGATCGAAGCGTTCTGCTACTAGCTCCACCAAAAGGACGTCTTGCTTCGCCCGGCTCGGATCGCTTCGATAAAGCGAGCCCTTTAGGGTGTCTACTTTGAAGTTGAATTCGAAGCTCCGCTGTTGCATTCTAAACTGCTCGCCGTGAGTTCCGTCTTCGGCGTCCTCGAAATCATCATCGTCATCATCAATGTCCTCCAAGATGACGGCGGTAGAAGACTGGAGGAATGGGAACGCAGATTGTCGGCGGTCACGCATCGACCTAAGCGCGGATCGGCTGGAGGCATTGCTAGCTAGTCGTGGGCGTGAAGAATGACGTGAAGAAGGCCTTGCTTGAGTGGTGGCGGCAGATTGCACTGCCTTTTGCTCCGCCTCGGCGCTGAATCGTGGTATGGCAACATCGATAACCTGCATCAAGTTCTTGTACTTGGCATCGGATACGGTGGCATGCAGCATTGGCAAGTGGCCAGAGACCTTTAGCTTTGTGAGATTAGGCGCTTTGGGCAGAATTGACATTTCCACCACGAAATCGACATTGATCTCCTCGACTACATGTAGCTGCGAGCCGCGATCGCCAGGTTTGCTGGTGAGCTGAGCCTTGGTTTCTTCGATGGAAGGCCCAATGAGGACTTGCGTCGAGGTAAACTTGACGATGAACCTGTCGTACATGGCCGACTCAAGACGTTTGAAGTCTTCTTCGTTGTAAGACTGGCGCTGCTTGGACTGGATCTCCGCCAAGGTCTCTTGATCGACCAACTGGCTGTTCACGTGCATGTGACCGGCATCGACAACGAGACAAGTAGAATGCTCCGTGGTAATGCTGACGGGAATGATGATCAGCGGCGCTTGCAGGTCGAGCTCGGCGTTGATGGTTTTGTGTTCTTCCAGCGCAAACTCCAAGCCTACTCGTGTCTGCTCCCGAATGCCCTCCACGGTGGCCCCGGCGGTCTCCATCAGAGCCGCAATCGACTCCATGTGCCTCTCAGGAGGTCGGAAGAAGTCGACGATGCCGACTACAAAGTTGGGGTTCCAGACAACTTCGAGGGGTTTCAGCTTGCCCACGACGGCAATGTCGCCTTCTCGTTCAAGAGGGTTCTGCTCAATCTCGAATTCGAAAAAAGGCTCCTCTTCCGCCGTTTCCAGCTCCTCGAGAGAAATTGGCTTCCGCTTCTGGGCATCCTTTACGCGAACAATCTCTGGATAAAGACTATCGGGAGTCGTACCATCATTGACTCGCAGGCCACCAAGACTGATGCTAGCCAGTACAGAGTCCTTTCTCTGTAGCGCCTTGGCTTTGAATAAGTCAAAGTGTAAGCTAAGGAGATCCATGGTGCCGTGATGTGGGCTCTTCTTGAGCGTGAAGCTGCCGGTGCTGAGCGCCGCCTCGATGCACATGTTGACGGCTTCACGGGGAACATCGACAGATTCAGCGAGCGCAGCCTTTTCGTCCCAGTCAATCATGTCATAGAGTTCCTTCCTCTGCTCTTCTGTCATCTGCGTGTTCTCTTCATTTTGCTGGATGGTGCCCGTCGGCTTGGAACCCCACATCCAAGCAACCCAGCCCTGCTGCTGAGGCTGCTGAGGCTGCTTGCTCAGGGCTGCGGCATTCTCCTTTTTCAGTTGGTTTCGAGCCAGCGATCTCCAGAACCGAAGGTCCTCGTAGCTAAGCTTAAATTCAAGCTTGTCAAAGTCGCCAGACTCATTGGCTTCGAGCTGCAAGCCCTGCTTCTTCTTTTTGAAGAGGTCGATATACCGCCTGCGGTCATCACGACGCTCTTTGAAATAGCCCCACGACCACTTACGATTCCTGTCGTGGATCTTACCCAGGATGGCATTCCCCGCAAACAGCAGCCAGGCTCTCGGATCCTCCTTTGGACTAACGCCCTTTGGTTTGAGCGCTTTGTATTCTTGGTGGCGGATGAAGTAATGGAAGAGGTCTACCATCATCAGGGCATCGCGATACTGGTCGTCATCTAGAACGACACCAATCTCGTCAAACAATAGAGTAGCCTTGAACTTGGGCGCCTCAATGGCACCGGACTTGTCCAGCTCAATCTTTGCCTGTCCACTGACGGGCTTCAAGATGAATTGGTTGCTCGAGTCGGGGTCGTGAATCTTTGCGAGCATGCCCTTAAACTTGTCGACCATGTCACTGTGTGTCATTGCCCCTTGAGAGTCGTTTCCGGTTTGGCGGCCACTGCTGAAGAGGTCCGAGTCCGTGTTCCAGTATACCGCCAGGGAGCCCAACGTGGCGAGCTTGTGTGTAGTCGTAGACGACTGCTGGATGAAGGACGGCGTCCACTGGCCATCGGCACTGACAGCGCTAAACTCCTCGAGCGTGAAGCCAAGGGCGAAAGGATGACCCGGAGCTGATATGGAGTCTTCGTAGCGAATGTGAATGTTTTTGACCGTGATCTGGAGGTTGTCGGTGATCTTGGTCGCCAGGCTCTGGGCAAAGCTCTGGTTCTTCTTCTGCTCCTCCTGGCTCATGCCAGCCTTGTTCCGTTCCTTGAGCAGCTCGGCGCTCTCAAGCTTCTCCATCTTGAGCCTGTGTTTCCTGCGCTGCTCTTCGTCTTCGTCATATTCGGCCTCTTCTTTGGGACTCGCGAGCAGGTAGACATCTTCGATAAAGACCTTGACGGGAGCGCCGCGGATATTGGACCAGGGGATGTAGAGGGTGAGTTCGCCAAGGTGGCCCTCGATGACGTTGATGGGTAGCTTGAGCTGATCGAGAGCTTCTCGACGAAGCTCCAGGTTGCGGAGCTTGACGTCGCCGGACCAGATGCCAACCTTGAGCTGCGTAGGGTCGAAGTTCTTGACGTACATGCCCAGGAAGCGGTTGAGCAAGCCGGCGACGAGTCCTTCCAACATGTCGGCGACGGTGGTGCCGTAACCCGGGCCGGGACAGCGAGGGTCGGAGAGAGTTGTCGGTCGAAGGTCTATTCTATAGGAAGGACATTGGGGGATGTTGGGCTGTGCACAGCGAGTGCTCGCCGGTCGAGGTTCGCAATCGGCGCTCTTCCAGCGGTTGTCAGGCTACGTCTTGGGAGAGACGAGACTAGAGAGAGCAATTCGAAGAAGAAGAGACGAGATTGTCCGATGCGCAAATGCGGTTCGAAGTGGGGAGATTGGGCGCGGCTGGGGATTTCATGCAATGCGGAGTGCGTTTGATGCGTCGCGGCCTGACCGAGGAGGGGCAAGACAATGCAAAGAATGAGTCTGTCGAGGGTAGCTGAGGGCCTGCAGTGGCGATTTGAGCGGGGGAACAGGTGGTGCAGTGTCCCGGGCTGTGGCTCTAGGATACCGAGGATGTTGTGTGGAGTGGTGATGATATCGCAGGCCAGACAAAGACTCAATGGTAAACATCGATGGAGTGTTTGATTCAAGGCAGCACGGATTTATCACGATAGGGACACGAGGTGTTAGTGCAGCTCCAGCAGGCCTCAGGTCGCTGCCGCACTGCAAGGCACCTACAAACAGGCGCTGCGAGCTGCTAAAACCCCCTGCAAATATAGCGGCACCCTCTACGGAGCTTTTCAGTGCCTGGGCCAGGTTCAATGACGGAGGAGGATGACGTAAGGACTCCCCCCACCATGGCAGCTCGGGCCAATTGCTGTCCAGGGGCTTCGATTCGGTGCATCTTTGACGTCGACATTGATGTCGAGGGACAGATGGACAAAGTGTACACATTAGTGCTGATGGTTGATATGGCGATTGCTGGTACCTGGAAGCGAGAAATGCGCAGCATCTGGTACCTGGTACGAGTAGATGCAGAAGCTCAAGTACTAACAAGGTACTCGTACTTGTTTTGTTTTAGTGGCGTATTTCCTGTTTTAGCCAAGAGCTGGAAAGGAATCCGGGGTTGTCTGCATCACGATGTGTAGCTGTTTCTATCTCTTCGTCCATAATGTTAATAGAAGAAACAGTATATCTAAATCAATTAATGTCGATAATAATAATGGAATCATAGTACACCCTATCTTGATCCATCTTCCACTCGAGATGAGCCTAGCACAGTCGGGTCGAGTTGGTAGTAGCACAATAAATCCATCACCATCATCACCATCATCACCACCACTATAAACAATTCAACACCTATGCTAACGGTAGCACGCCCATAAACACCGCCACAAACGGTCTGTCCATTCATCCCATCAACTAGTACTAATAAACCCCCCAAAATCAAGCCTTCAAATGGCCATTCACCATCCACACCTTCGCAGCCTCTCCCGCTTCCCGTCAATGTCATACCCCAATGCGCGTGGCCATTACGTCACGGCCTCGGACCTCCCAATAATGTCATCATCGCATCACCACCTCCGTCTTCCGCTGATCAGATCCATTATCGGCATCGCTACTTGATTATTCCATCGTGATTTTAATGCAGGTCGCAATGCTCGATCAATTCTTGCAATGTGATGCAAAAAAAAAAGCTGTGCCGCAGCCGAGCTCACACTCCACAGAAATCGGTGTTACATGTGCCCATTAAGCTCAGCTCTTGCCGACGCATCTGTCCCGGGAATGTAGTTCATCCTTTACCAACTCAACCCCAATCCTCTTCTTTCTAAGGTACTCCGTATACCTTCAGTGAAGTCTCCAAGCAATCGACACCATGTTCAGATCCTTGCCGTCGCTTCGATCCCCGGGGAGGGCGCTGCATGTAGCTGCGAGCCTCGCCGGTTCCAGATCGCAGCCGTCAATAACACGACAGCCACTCTACCGATTAGATGCGAGAAGAACAGCAATTCGCTTCGCCAGTTCTTCCAGTCAACCTCCGAAACCGCCATCAGCCGATGAAGAGCGCGACAGACTTGCCCACCAGAAGCTCGAACCAAATCCCGAAGGCGTTTCCTCTACCAGCAGCGTCCGAACCGTACTGGAGGCCACTGAAGGAGCCACAACAGAGCTTCCTGGCGTCCACTCAAATCTCAAGCATGATATTGTACGCATTCGGTGATAATAGTACACTGCGAAGAGCATTAGATTAACCAAAAGCTATCATAGGATCTTGTCAAGGATACGTTTCGCCTGGACACAGTCCCTCGCGAATCTCACATCCTTGGTCTAGCCGGCACACTGCCATACCTTGCTACCTCTGTGTCGACCGTTTTCTTGGCCTTGAATCTCAACACCGACATTCCTTCTGGCAATCGTTTCTATAATATGATCTTCATGGAACATGGGACAGCGCAGTACCTCCTGGACCTCATCGAGCCGCTGCAGCTCGGATATGGCGCCGTCATCATCTCGTTCCTCGGCGCCATCCATTGGGTATGTCATTCCCCTTTTCAGTAATGAGATGGAATTTCTAACCGTCAGTTAGGGCCTCGAATATGCAGAAAAGAAGCCACAGCACGACCGCACTCGATTCCGCTACGGAACCGGTCTCGCCGCCTCCATCGTCGCCTGGCCCACGGTCCTCATGCCTCTCGAATACGCCCTGACAACACAGTTCGGCGCCTTTGTCGCGCTCTACTACGCCGATTCCCGCGCCACGCGGAAAGGCTGGGCGCCGCCGTGGTACGCCAAGTACCGCTTCCTCCTGACCGCCATGGTCGGGCTCGCCATCTTCATATCTCTCGTCGGCCGCGCCGAGATCTCTCAGCGGGCTGCGCTTAACAAGAAGAGCTTGCGGTCTAGAGTCGAGGAGCCCGGTATTGCGGATAAGCAGACAGATTGGACAAAGTTGGAGAAGGAGGAAAAAGATAGGATCAGAAAGGAAAAGGCCAAGAAGGCAAGAGAAGAGGGACAGGCAGAGAAGAAGAAGTCTCAGGATGGGTTGAAGGGCAAGGACAAGAAGAAGGATGAAAAGGAAGACGACAACGACGAGGATTCGGCCAAGGATAAGGGAGACGAAGAGGATGACTCTCAGGATAGCCAAAAGGGCGAGGCCAAAGGTGGCGACGAGTCCAAGGACAGTGACGAGTCCAAGGACAATGACGAGTCCAAGGACAGTGACGAGTCCAAGGACAGTGACGAGTCCAAGGACAGTGACGAGTCCAAGGACAGTGACGAGTCCAAGGACAGTGACGAGTCCAAGGACAGCGATGAGTCCAAAGACAACGATGAGTCCAAAGACAACGACAAACCCAAGGGTGGCAACAAGTCCAAGGATAACAAGTCCAAGGACAACAAGTCTAAAGACAATGACAAGTCCAAAGACGGCGAATCTGATCAAGATCAAGAAAAGACTGATCAGGACAATGAATCAGACAAAGGCAACAACGACAGCAAGAAAGATAAATAGCGCCGGAAGAACAACCTGTCCCGAACTTCATGTATTAGTATTCCATCAGCATTATAATAGCAATCATTAATTAGCCAAGCAATCCGTCACTTCACAAGCAATTTCACGCCCACAGACTAGAGCAGAAAGAAACAAGATGGTCGTAAATTAAAAAAATAAAAACGACAACTGAATAAGCTTTGGTATAAGTAAAAAGGCTAGAGTACTGCCCAGACAAAAAAGGTTCATCCGTTCATCCATAGCCTCCCACCTTGCAACCTTATAGAGTCCCTTCTCGTTATACCCCGAGTTCCCAAAAAGCAGTATGTCTGCATTATACTTCTATCAACCAAATTTTTTTCGTAAAAAAAGGGGGAAGGGAGGGGGTATGGGTTCCAACGCCTAAAAATGCACACAAGATGATCCCCCGTAAGGTCCAGCGATGAAGCGAGGCCTAGGGGAATGTTTGTTTCCTGTTTCGCCGATATCACAGGCTATCATTAGACGCACAGAGAAGCTCGGACATGATGCGTTGTTCATCGTATTCGTCAATCGTTACTCTTTTCCTCTAAGATCTGGCAAATCCTTGCTTGGCCTGTACACTGTTAGAGACTGAGGGATCAATGAGATTTGCAGGATTTCCCTACCTTCATCTGTTCAATTCTGGCCTTCAACTGACTTGTCACCTCAGCTGCTCGCCTCCAGCTCTCGGCTCCGTTGGAGCCCGACTGTGGCAATGACGATACGGGGCGGTCTCTGGCCGATGTCAACGTCGAATCGCTGCCATCGTCGTGCGAAGCGATGTTTCGGAATCCTCGAGCAGGAGATCCACGTCCGGATGATCCAGTGCTGCCTGCATAGCGCAGTTCCGGGCTGAACTTGTTTCGTGGATAAGGAGCATCGCCATTCTCCTTCTCTTCGGACATGGTGCTGGCGTAGCTCATCCTATTCCGTGAGCTTGGAGCAGCCATGGGGTCCCGATAAATCCCCCCGTCGTCGAATGTTGGAGAGGTAATACCTATTTGATTCGTCAGTCACCTATCCATCACAGGGAGTGCATCACAGGGAGTGGTAAAAATTAGACTCTCCACTTACCAGCCGATGCATTTAGGTGTTCAGCACGGCTCAGCGCCTTCTTGAGGCGCTCCAGCTCACGCCGTAGTCTATCATTGACTCCCTCTGCTGCCTCCGCATCGCTCCGGGCACGGACGAGCTGGGTCTCTTTCGCCTTGATACTCAGGACATCTCGGGTGTGGTCTTCAATAAGGCTGGCATTCTGGTTCTTCAGCTCTTGAATCTCCGACAAAAACTTGCTGCGTTCCTGACGCAAGTCATCGATATGCCGGGTCAAACGATCATTGGCGGTGCGCAATTCTTCCAACTCGGCCCTCTCGATGGCTGTGAGGCCGCTTGAAGGGGGCGGTGATTCCGAAGGCATCCGGGCGGGAGCCGCAGCAGGCTTAGCCAAGGAACGACCCGTCAGTCCTCGGGAGGGAGCCGCCTTTGCCGGCGGTGGTGTTGGTGGCAGAGGGTCTTCTTCTGGCATAATCGGGCCCGATCGGCGAGGTGATGAAGCCCCAGAAGCCCCAACCGCTCGCTTTTGGGGAGCTTTGAGCCCACCCGTCTTGGGCAGGCCCAGTTTGCTTCCTGCGGGCTTCGCCGCGGGAGGTGCCTCAGCTGCAGCAGCCGGCGCTGCTTTCTTGACGCCTGCTGCAGGCTTCTTGCCTCCGACCACCTTCTTCGGCGCTGCGGCCGGCGCTGGCTTGGGGACGGGCTTGGGCTTCTCTTTTGCCTTGACTTCGGCTGCTTCGAAGAATTCCTTGATTTTGGTCTTTCGAATATCGTCCAAGCCTTCCAAGTTTGGGGTCATGGCTCGTTCGCCAATGATCTTCATGATTGTTCCCAGAATCTCGGCACCACCATCTCGCAACCCCGGGGTTGATTCCGAAAGTAGCTTCTTTCCAGCCTCGCATAATTGAGCAATCTCGGGCTTGGCTGGAACGTCGCGCGTGGTCCGAAGACAACGAATGAGAAACTTCATGGTGCCCTCCTTTACCTGTGGATTTTTGTTTCCCAGGAAAGCAAAGATGTCTTCGAGACAGTCAGACAGCGACGTTGACTCAAAGGTAGCGTCAAGGGCACCGCCCAAAGCGTCGGCAACCGCAGCTTTCTTCTCCTTCAACCGTTCCATTATGGGCTGCATGACTGTGGTACGATGTTTGGAGAAAGCTTGGCGCAAACCCTTTGCCAGCAGTTCGATGCACTGGGCCGCTTGAGTAACGACAGCAACGTTGGCGTCCTTCATGCACTTGGCAAGGCCCCTAGTGATTTCGTTGAAGTCGCCATCCTTGATACGAGGGACATTGAGGATTGCATAAAGTCCCTCGACGGCCTCTTTACGATCTTTCCACTTGGACGAGGCAAGCTGTTCGTGGAAATTGGGCGCCAGTTTCTTTAGGACATCCTCAGGTTCGGCCAAGGCAAACGCGTCGATCTCAACTGGCTCCTCCGCCTCTTCTTCTTCACCCTCTTCTCCGTCCTCGTCGCCGCCGCCACCGCCCGACTCGGCAGCCTCCTGCTGACTTCGCAGCAGTCGCTCTTGTTTCGGGTTGCCCTCAGCCTTGACCTTTTCAAACTGCGCCTCGAGATCGGTTTGTTGCGTGGGTTTCAGATCCCCCCAGAACATGGGCTTCATAGCCTCTCGCAGCCACCTGTAGAGCTCCACCGCCAGTCCAGTAGCCTCAGCACGCACATTTTTATCAGCCGCACCAAAGGCCTTGGGTAGTGCTTTGAGGATAGGCTTGGGGTCGACAATCTTGCAGCCGTAGTTGTGGATGATCTGGGTCAAGGCGTTTAGTGTAGCCGCAACATTCTTGGGTACCTTGTTGCCAAGACCAGGCAGCACCTCTTCGATAACGGGGGCTGCCGTGTCCAGCTCGATATATAGCAGGATCGCTTCGAGGGAGTTTTGCTTGATGGCGGGTCGCGTTGAAGACAGACACTTCTCAACCATGGGGCTAATTGCGACGCCTCGCGTACGCAGAGCGCCATCTCGCCCGCCATACTTGAGGAATTCGCAGAGGGAGGTGATGGCTTCTTGCTGGGCAGCCACGTTGGAGTCGGAGACGGCAGATTTCCACAAACCCGGGTCGTTTAGAAAGGGTCGGAAGCAAGGGTCGGACTCATCCGGTGATTTGGCAAACTGTTTAGCAACATCTTCATAGGCTTGTTTACGGACTTTCCAGTTCTAGATGTCAAGGGGTTTTCTAGTCAGCCAAAGGAGATTTCACGATGGGCCGTGTTGCAGAGAGCATAGGCAGATAAGTAACTAAGTACCTTGTGTGAAAAGCGGTCGGGGAGCGGCAAGGAGCTGAGATCCTCTTCTTCGGCCATGGCGGCTCGGGTGGGCAGCGAAAGGTACCTAAACGCTGACGAGGTCTGGGAATGCTTCTGCTCCGAGGAATCTGCTGGCCGTTCATCAATTAGATTGGCGATTCTGCGGATGAGCTTCTTGAACGGGTGGTGACGCCGTCGCGACTCCATCGTGCAAGGCCTCACGAGGCTAGCCAGAGGGGAAGTAGGGAAGACAAGAAGGCAACATACCACAGACGATGAAGAGGTTGGCGTGAATCCGTCAGGAGTGGTTAAGCGGAAGATCCAGGAGGCTACTTTGTACTTTTTCCCCAAGAGCAATACCGGGGATCGCGGCCGCCAGTGTCAGTTACCCTGCCGTCCTTGAGCTGCGCGACCGGGATCAGGATAGGCAAGAAAGCGGCGATGCCTCTCGGCGGGCCGTGTGCCTATGCAGGTATAAAATAATGTTCGTATGAAAAGACGGAATAATATGTACAAGACGCAAGGAGGGGGGAAGCGGTGCCGGGGATCGAGTCGGTGGGAGGCTGTGATTTGCTGGCCGGGGCGGTTCGGTGCGCGGCAGAAGCTGCAGAGTTGCGAGCGCTGACTCGGGAGCGGGAGGTTGTGTCTCGTGATGCTCGCCGTGCATGCAGAAACTCGGTCGAGTTGGGGGAGAAAGTTGTTGGTTTTTGTCTTGTTTTGTTTTGTCTTGTCTTGTGCTCTCGTTGGTTGGGTGAGCTGTGCTTTGCTGTGGGTTGCCCATCACAGGTCAACAAATCCCACCCATCACCTGATTGCTCCAATCAGCAGCCCGCGCTGGCAGGGCTATCCTGAACTCGGACTAACACCGCATGGGTGCATATAAACAAATGGATTTTCCGGGTGTCTGTTTGGCCAGAGATGCGAAGGAAAATAGTGGCAATAGTAAAAGGCTAGAAACCGGTATTGCATGGATGCCTTTCTATTTGTCGATTTATTTACTTGCCATGGCATTACTTCTCGTTCATGCATGCAGCATTCCATCTGCACAGCTCTGCTCCAAGGTACCTCTGTAGGGTATTGCGATTGCGATTGCGATTGCGATTGCGATTGCGGGATCCCCCTCCATAGAGCCAGTGTAGCGCCAGGTACTGCCAAACTTACACATTTGCGCGGCCCCCATCCATCTACCGATTGGGTACCTTGATCGACCCCGCGTGCAGACAAGACGCGAGCTGTTGGAGACGCCTTTTTTATAGATTAATTGTAGTTTTGAGTAGCTGCAGCATGAGGCATTGTTGCTCTCTACTTTACAGAGACTCTTTACTGTCCAAATTTCACACAATGCATCGCAAATGCAGGCCTTGGACATTAGGCGGCAAATCCCCACGGGAACCAGCCGATGACGCAAGGGCACAAGGGCTGGTGCCAAATTCATCACAATCCCGCCAAGCACGTGCAAATTGCTCACCTGTCAACACTGACAGACCCTTCACCGCCTTCGCCCATAAACCCCCACCATCGCGCGCCCAGTCACGTGGTGATAAGATAGACACGGGAAGCTTCAACGCGTTCTAACAAAAGATTCACTGCAGCCTTGCTTGGACGAGGCTCCACTCATACTCATCCACGGCTTGTCATCCAACGGAGCAGCAGATCAAATGGCGAGGCCTCAGCGACTGCGGTGA